CTGGTTAAAAACAGACTGTAAGACATATTTTTGAGTTTCAAAAAAAAGCAAAAGACGCACACCCTTCTGCCTGCGCTAGCGAAAATGACGAGACGCAGCCAAAGCCAAAAGTCAATAAGAGGAAGAGACAGAAGATACGTGAAAGGTGTGGATTATTTTAAACTAAAATTCAGGACAACATCGTGGTGTGTGGTACATTGCATAGAGGAGCGGCATACATAGTTTTGAAGTAATTTATTTATTTATATGGACAATATTTTGACTGAACAGTTTAACTACTTTGCTTATAGTTTCAAATAAATAAATCGTCAATTTTCTTAAAAAAGGAAACAAATTGGTTGTATTGATTGAAGTGAGTCCTGTCTTGTTTCTATTGTTAACTTATAATTGGGCTTTAATTAAGCAAGTAGTGTTCTTTAGTCCAATTACCGATTAATCCGATGGGATATTCGACTAGAATATCTCCATTACCGAAAAATATTGGATAGCTGGCAGCTCTACATTAAACAATGTTAGAAACATGTTTGTGTTAAGCCTAAATGATCATTATTTAATTATCTGAGCGCAGGCAGAAGCCCCAGCCAGGTAAACTCAACCACCCACTAGATTCTACGCATCTTAGTCCCAGACTGCAAAGACAGCATAGTTCTGCTTCTCACAGTGCTTCTACCCCTCCCAGTGACTCGTTAAGTCAGAGCCAACACCAGACGCGCGTGAAGGCCTTGTCAAAATTCTGCCCACAGCCAGCACAAATAGCTTCTGACCTCCATCTGAAGAGACTAGCTCACCGGTACAGAAGCAATTTGCTGAGGACAGCATGCTCGTAAATACGCGATCTCTCACACCTGTCGCACGCACTCACTCTCTCATCACACAGTCAGCGAAACACGGCTTAAAGCGGAGGGGAAACACAGAATCTCATCACCTCACATGCGCCTTAATGTAATGACAGGGCTGTGCATGAGCTTGTGTGGTGCATGAAGGCAGATTAGATTGTGACGCCAAAGATGCATGTCACACAAACGCTTAAAAGATCACCACCGTGGCATGATTGAAAAACTTAACAGCGACTTAAAGAACCATGGTGAGCACTTTTTTCAGTTTTCTGATAACAACCAGCCTGCAAAAACTCAGAGAGCAGACGCATCAGAGCGTATGTGACATATCACTACGGGCTGCGTACCGATAACACATCCTCACGATACGCACTACGATAACCAGATAACTTCAGACCACGATATGATTCAAATACGATCGATTTCACTTACTCCATTCTTCTGAAAAGATTTTAATAGGGACAGTGCTGATCTTGTGACTCTGCCTAGTGGGCTTCATTGACTTGGATTCGACATAACCTAACTCGAAAACCTGAAAATTACACAATATCACCTCGGATCGACTGACCGAGAGTTACAGTTGCAATGCCGCGACAACCTTGATCCACACATGTGGTGACCGAAATTAGTCTTCATTTATATGAATTGTATTATATTTAATTTAAAGGAGTTTATAAGATTTTAGTCTTAAATATTTGAAAGAACTGTTACAAGCAGTCTTGTAGGAACAGTGTAATAACTGAATTAAAGGTTGTAATGCCAAAGGTCTGACTTGACAGATGAGTTGGCTCAAATGTTCAGAATCATATCTTAAAGTGTACCCCATTAATATGTGGGTAAACCCCATATTGGAAACACGTTTCAGTATAGGAAAGTACAGTTCAACAGCATAAAAGATACATTTAACAAAATGAGCATTTTGAGTCAACACCTCTGTAAAGCAGTTTCAACAAGGACTGAATATTAAACCATAATGTTTTTCAAATCCCATTGGTGGCCTCTTTTCATCTGTTAATGCAGGGCTACCTGTTCATCTCAGTGCTGGTTAACAGCAACAGTGAGTTGATCCGTCTGATCAACAACGCCATCAAGAATGACCTGTCCAGCCGCAACCCCACCTTCATGTGCCTGGCACTTCACTGTATCGCGAACGTCGGAAGTCGCGAGATGGCTGAGGCCTTTGCCAGTGAGATCCCTCGGATCCTGGTTGCTGGGTGAGTGTGACTTCTGCTTTAGAAGGTTGAGATAGTGCAATGAATATAAATCCTTACTTCTCCTGTTTTTCAATTTCATTTTTTCCATTATGTTTTGCTGTGAGTGATCTAGGGCTGTCGCTATAACAGCAATCATAATGAAATACCACGCTATTGACAAGCCAATTGCCACAACCATATGTGATGTCACATCATCACATCGTTCAGAAAAACGCCCCAGAGTGGCTAGGTTGAAGAGACTCGACACAGCATAAATGCTGTCTGAATTGCAATGCTACTCAGTATCCTTTGACCCCAACAAAAGTAGGGTCATGATGGAATTCCAGGGGGTCCCAAGAATTAAGTATCTATAAGTAACACAATAACAGAATCTTTGACTATTTTGGTCATAAGTTTCATATACTTTCTTTAACAAAAAATCTCCATTAGATGGGGCACCCTGGGATGAAATCTTATAAAGTTTGGGTCTGTTGTCTAATCTGTGTCAATTTAGGGGGTCTTTGATGTGAAACATTTTAAGAGCCACTGTTCTCTCATGTCACTTTGTCACTCCACTACTTCGCTGTGACTTAGTTACTGGTAATGTGAATGTGATCACCACAGTGATACGATGGACAGCGTGAAACAGTCAGCTGCCCTGTGTCTGCTGCGGCTCTATAAGACCTCTCCTGACTTGGTGTTGATGGGTGAGTGGACGTCACGCGTGGTGCACCTTCTCAACGACCAACACATGGTGAGAGCCCAATCCAGTGATTAAATGGTTTCTTTTAGAAACACTAACTTCACGTAACATATTTGCATTGTGTTAACATTTAAAACTAACCAAAATTACAACATGATTTTGAATTGATAAAAATAGTCCGATTATTAATTCTCTTCTTTTGCGTCTCTGGGGTTTAGGGTGTGGTGACAGCAGCCATCTCTCTGATTACCTGTCTGAGCCAGAAGAATCCAGATGAGTTCAAGACCTGTGTTTCCCTGGCCGTTTCCCGACTCAGCAGGGTGTGTGTCTTTCATTAACAATCAATTGCAAACAGAACTTTGAATAATCCTTGTGTTAATATTGTTATTGTACATATATTTATTATTATTATTTATTTATTTATAAATAAATAAATAAAGTATCTATATAGTAATCTAATCTATCTTGTACCAAATCTAGCCCAGATTCTGCACTGACTTGCTTTGAACTTGCTTGGGATCAGAGTGGATCATAAGTTCAGAGACAACAGTGTTGTCAGTTATCAAAGCTAGGCTTCCCAGGTGGATGAATAGACCACTGATGAGCTCATTACCAAGACAGCCATATCTGTCCACTTTAGTGTAGGGCAAAAAAACAAACACCCTTTAAAACAATTCCGATTAAGCCAAATGCAGCCAAACTCCCATGGCTGTGATAGTGGATACCGTAGATACTGCTCATTTGCTGTGTATAGTAAGCACTTTACTGAGACTGTTAAGCAGTGTTTTACACAGGTTCAGTTTTAACCTAACATAATTAGTCACAGGAAAAATTGTGTTTCTTCTCCAGATTGTGTCGTCGGCCTCCACTGACCTACAGGATTACACCTACTACTTTGTCCCAGCACCGTGGCTCTCCTGCAAGCTGCTGCGCCTGCTGCAGTGTTACCCTCCCCCAGAAGATGGTGCTGTCAAGGGCCGATTGGTAGAGTGTCTGGAGACCATCCTCAATAAGGCCCAAGAGCCACCCAAGTCCAAGAAGGTGCAGCACTCCAATGCCAAGAATGCTATCTTGTTTGAGGCTATCTCACTTATCATCCACTATGACAGGTGAGCATTCTTCAGCTACAGCAACAACTCTGCAGTACAACAAAATACACACAGTTGTGGTTTCTGTTCCACAGTGAGCCAAACCTGCTGGTGCGAGCCTGTAACCAACTGGGCCAGTTCCTGCAGCACAGAGAGACTAACCTGCGCTACCTGGCTCTGGAGAGTATGTGTACTCTGGCCAGCTCTGAGTTTTCACATGAAGCCGTCAAGACACACATCGAGACCGTCATCAACGCCCTCAAGGTGGTGCCTTACACTTTGTTCTAAACACAGTGACAGGCCTGAGCAATGTATTGATTAAATTGTTAAATGATTAAGTGTGACAGACTCCTACCAACCTCCAAAAACCCCATGTACATTTCTACTTAACTTTAAAAAGGATACAGGATAACAGTAGTATACTGGTCAGTAGTCACATCTTTTTTCTTCCATTTTGTCAGTGTTTCTCTCTCTGTGTCTGCAGACTGAGAGGGATGTGAGTGTTCGACAGAGGGCAGCTGATCTGCTGTATGCCATGTGTGATCGCAGCAATGCCAAGCAAATCGTAGCCGAGATGCTCAGCTATCTTGAGACAGCAGACTACTCCATCAGAGAGGAGATGGTAGGTGTTAGTGTGCCAAGAAAGATTTAGTGCCATGCTATATTCTTCATTATATGTGACCATATATCTTTCTAAATGTAAAGTAAGAATTTGTGAAGATGGTTTGTTTCCACCGGGCCAATATTGTATTCATAAACATACAAAACAATCCAGCAGTCTTTAAAAAATGTATTAATACTGACAGTGAGCAATGTCGGAAAAGTATTCTAAACGTACGTGCCAACTGAGCTGTGGTGTTCCTCATTTAGGTGCTGAAAGTAGCCATACTTGCAGAGAAGTATGCTGTGGATTACTCCTGGTACGTGGACACCATTCTCAACCTCATCCGCATTGCTGGTGACTACGTCAGTGAAGAGGTGTGGTATCGCGTCATTCAGATCGTCATCAACCGAGACGATGTGCAAGGCTATGCCGCCAAGACGGTCTTTGAGGTACCCACATCATCAATCATCAAATCTTAAAATGTAGCTTTTGATTATGCTTGTGCTGACTAGCTGACTGATCATTGATTGATATTGATTGGATGGTTATCAAACCACGGTGCTTTTTTGACTACGGACTAAAATGTCTGTTGTGTTTAACTGTTGAATATCAAAAACAGTATTGAAGTTGAAAAAGACTGTCTGCACAGATTCATGATCTTGTCCTTTTCTTTGATCAGGTAGTTCCTTATTTAAATCAAAATGTTGCCTGTTTCAGACTGCATATTGCCCTTTATGTAGACAAGGTTTTCAATTAATCAGTTCGTGAATGTTGGTTTTTTTGTTAAATGAAAAACATCTTTATGTTTCACACAAAAACATTTAAATAATTCACAGCCACACCTCTGTTGTATTTTTATTTTTTTATATGGCAATTTTTCAATATGCATTCAATGTAAATTCTATGATTTTATTTTATTTTTATTTTTTTCCCCCACACACTGAGTCCTATTTTTCTATATTATTATTATCGTTTTAAGTTATGTTTAAATCACCAACTTCATATCTGAGGGATACAGCAACTTGGCCAGACATTTATTTGTATTATCTACATCCTTTATTTATAAAGGAAGTGTTAAATGCTAATACACAAACAATTGACTCTGAACGTCCGAGTGTTTTCCTGGTTTTAACCTTAACTGGCCGTTTTTTCAGAAGTTGTCCATATTTTAAAATAATTTGGATGATTATGTCAGTGTGTGTTTTAAAATAGGTTTACGTTAGGTTTAAATAGTTAATTTAGTTATATTGGGCATTTGAATCAACGCCGGTGTTGCTAGACCAATTGGACCCAGTAGTAAAGCAGGTTTGAAACCTCTAGTGAAGTAGCCATGATCCCAGCTTTCAGCGGTAAAAATGCTGTGAAAATGTTATAACCAATAGGACTTACGGCCAGAAACTTGATCTTGAATCTTTCTGTCCTCCAGGCTTTGCAGGCCCCTGCCTGCCATGAGAACATGGTGAAGGTTGGAGGCTACATTCTTGGAGAGTTCGGTAACCTCATTGCTGGTGACCCACGCTCCAGGTATGTTGGATTTTAGCTGCCAATCGACTAAGTTGACAATTGACATAATAAATAATAACTGTGTGGTTCTCTGATCCAGCCCCCTGGTCCAGTTCAACCTTCTCCACTCCAAGTTCCATCTGTGCTCTGTGCCAACTCGTGCCCTGCTGCTGTCAGCCTACATCAAGTTTATCAACCTGTTCCCAGAGACAAAGGCCACCATCCAAGAGGTTCTGCGCTGCGACAGTCAGATCCGCAATTCGGATGTGGAACTGCAGCAGCGTGCTGTTGAATATCTGAAGCTTTCTTCCATCGCTAGCACCGATGTCCTGGTTAGTTTGATCACCATGTTAGACCAAACTAAACTCTGCTCTGATCCAGTAATTAATGAAATAACATTTGAATGCAACACTGGTATACATATAATTCATTTATCCAAATGTCCCCATAAACTGTCTCAGTCCAGATTTTTAGTCACATTAGTTTAGTCTAAACCCATAGCGTGATTGTCCTGTCTGTTCCCTCAGGCCACTGTCCTGGAGGAAATGCCTCCGTTCCCAGAAAGGGAATCCTCAATCCTGGCTAAGCTGAAGAAGAAGAAGGGGCCCGGTGCTGTATCTGTGACAGAGCTGGAAGACAGCAAAAGGGAGGGCGGGGAGTTGAATGGAGGGGGCGACCGGGGGCCAGACACAGCAGCCATGGCTGCCTCCAATGCTGTAAGCAGACTCTCTGTATTCACAAATAAACAGGCTTACATACAAGCATTTTGTGACCCTACTGCAAGTGTCTTTTGTTTTCTAGTCCACCCCGTCACCATCAGCAGACCTCCTCGGGATTCGTTCTGCTGCTCCTGTTGGTGCTGCTCCGGCCAGTGCTGGCAGCCTATTGGTAGACGTGTTCTCTGAGGCAGGGCCTATCGCACCTTCTGCTGCTGTGAATGACGACGGCTTCCTAAGGTGAAAGGTCATCTCTTGATGAGTAGATGAAGAATCCACCGTAGGC